AATATAAAAAATACAAAATTATAAAAATAGAGCAGGTTGTCCAGTAATTGTAAGGTTGCAGGTTCAATCCCAGCTCCCACCAGAGAATGCTGCTGTTGTGTCTTTGGTCGACATTTTCCCACCCTGTCAGCTGGTGGTGCCAGTCTTGCCTCCATTGATGCACCCCAGTGCAGCTGTGGCTACATTGTAGCTAATCATCACCAGCGTGTGAAATGGATGCCTGATTGTGCTGTAATGCACCTTGTGTGTGTGTGTGTGTGTGTGGGGGGGGGGGGGGGGGGGGGGGGGGGTTCTAACCCTAGGATGCTTAGACCATGATTTCAATTCAATTCAATTCAATTCAAAAATACTTTATTAATCCCAGAGGGAAATTGATTTAAAATATATGAAATATATATATGAATATAATAATAATAAATATATGAAAATATTTTAAAGATTGTAATTTGTATGAATTTTTGTTGATTTGATGTTTGTTTGCTTATGAATCAAACAGATGTTTTTTTTCTGGGTACAAATGTGAAACAAACACGAAAGCATCATAAAAGATGATTGCTTTTTGTATAATCATAATAATAGTAATAATAATAATAATATATTTGTTGATGCTCAGCAGCCTTTGCATTACACAGAGAAATATGAAAGAATATAAATACATTAAATATTAAGATTCAGACAAAAACGTATGAAAACAATGGGTTGTGCTTCATTTCTGGAACTAATTGTGAGATGTGCAGATGTCGGCAGGCAGATAAACACCGTAAACTTAAAGCGTTACAATTGTTTTATTCATACTTTTAATCTATAAAACTAAACCTAAGTACATCTATGTTTACTACTTTAGTAAACGTGTGTGTGGTAATAAAGTTATTTACAACTTTTTCTTTCTTACTTTTCTATTTCATTCAAATAAAACTGTGTGATACATATGAACCCGTTTACTTCAGAACCAGTGTGAGCGCGTTTCAACACTGAGCAGTGACTGATGGGTGTTTCTGCAGTTCAGGAGTTCAGACACACACACACACACACACACACACACACACACACACACACACACACACACACCCACACACACGCTGTGGAAAGGAAAGCAGACTCTGGGTTGGATGACGTGAACGCCTTTAAAACGTTCCAGGCTCTCTAACTGGAGTGTCATGCTGTTTTGTTTATTTGTTCTTTTTTGATTGTTTATTTGTTTTCTTTTGCTTTTTTACTTAGCTTTTCTTCCACAGGAACACAAGCAGGTGATGTCATGTATTAGTTTGCTTTTCTTAATAGTATATTTATCATATTTCATTGCTTTTGCGTGACACCTGCTGTTTCTACAGAAATACACAAGCAGGAGATTTACGGAGGATTCATCTGTGAGTGACGTCACAAGCAGCTCGTAACCACGTGCAGGTCTTCCAGGAAAAACTCTGCTTTTGGAGGCACCAACAGCAACAACTTGGCAGTGGCTCTCAGAGGTTTTATGACTCCAAAAGTATGTTGAAGTGATGATTTTATCACGAAGGAAGAAGTCTGTCTGTGTTACAGTGCATGAACTTTTACATGAAGCACGTTAGATTTTAGACTGAGTTCACGTCAAACATCCATTTTCCTTTGTGCCTGAATTCTGTTCATTCATAGCTGAATGATTCTGTCTCAGGAAAACCCCAACCTGTCCAACGATGACTAACATGAGAAGCAGTGGCAGGGCTTCAGCATTTCTAGAATGGTTCAGACCTGCTGGACCTCAGCTGCTGCAAAGCCTGGAGCATCAGAACCAGAGACAAAGTTCTAGAGCCGAGCTGCTCTGGAACCTGGGTGGTACACGCTGTCATCAATACCCCACCCCCAGAACTAACACTCACACGCCTGCACAAACACACACACTTCACCAACCAGGCTCTAGGAGAGTAACGCTGGACCATCTGAAAAGGAAAGGAGGTGAAGAAGAGCAGGAGGAAGAGTCGGTTTAGATTCCAAAGGTCAAAGGTTGACAGAACCATCTGGAAAGGCCTGTGATGTTCCTCTCTTGCTCTGCATGGATCAACCTCACAAACACAGGAGACCGACAGGTGCTGAAGCTCAACGCTCATTCAGGAATAGGAATGCACCGATCAGGTGTTTTGCTGCCGATCACCGATACCGATCATGTGGATTGGCCAGAAATTTTCTACAACATTATAATGAGTGCTACAAACTACATAATCTGGGAATAAAGGAAATGTAACCTAATCTAAAATGGTCTGTATTAAAGTTATCACTGTGTGAAAATGTAACCTCACGGTTATTGTGACCAAAATTACCACGGTTTTCGGTATTATCGCGGTATTTTTTTTAAACTCGTTACATTTTCAGACAACTAAATAAACCCTGTATGTCAGGAAATATTGTCCTCGGTTTGTGTTCTTCCAGTGAGCTTTGCAGATGTGGGAAAATGTCATCAGGCAGTAATCATTGTTAAATTCATAATGATTCTCGGAGAGAGACCAACTCTTATCTGCCCCTGGGAGCCCCGTAATGCATAGCGTCATTTCAATATGGGGTGTCTGCGACACGGTTTATATGCAGGTAGCGGCGCTGCGGCTGCTTTATATAGCCACTCGTTGCATTCTCCCTCAACCCAAATCCTCGGATCACGCATTTTAGCTAAAACGCTAAAGTTAACTTGCCTTGTGTTGACTGTAGAGTTGTGGGTGATGGTCACGCAGATGTGTCATGAGATTTGAAGCGTTGCTGCCTTTCACAGACACTTTTTCTGCACGTGCTGCAAACAGGATAGCCGTCTTCTACAAGCTCCTTCAACATTCTTCAGATATCCAACTGTAAACAACAAAGTGCGCATGTGCCGCCGGCAACTTCAACAGATGATACGGTGGTTGGTAAGGGTCACCGCGCCTGCACCGCAGCCACGGTAAACCCACCGAGATAATATAGTTTTTTTTTAAACAAGACAGTTATTATTATTGTCAACTTTTTTTTACCGGGTTTTACCGCTACACCGGTTACCATGACAACCCTACCTGATCGGTCTGCTTTGATCTATTTTGAAAACTCCGATCAAAACCGATAGGGGCGCTATCGGCCGATTGGGATCAAATGCCGATCCATCGGTGCATCCCTATTCAGGAACATCTTAGAGTTCCAGCTGGGAGGCAGGAGAACTTTAAGGCACTCAAATCCATTCTCAACTAAGTCAAGTAGCTGATTAAAAAAAGACAAATGCAAAATCTGATTCAGGAGGAACCTCACAACCAAGCCCCCACAATGCGGGAAAGAAATTGAAGCCAATGCGGAAGTGAAATAAATTGCAGTTCCACCCTCATCCACTAGGGGCTGGTATCAGAAGCGAGCAAATCCTCATTGACTCCCATGTTAAAAATACCAATTTCACAGCAGAAATAAACATGTTTACAGCCTGGTACCAAAACATGTTTTGGTTTAAATGATCTAGTTTACACTCATGACAACTCTGAGGGGGTGAATTTTTTTCTCGCTCTTCTGTTTAAGTGTATTAAAAGCCTAAAATTCTGTATAATTAATGAGCATCAGACCCACGTGACCACAGAGCTAGCTCCGTGGAAAGGCCTCAGTAGAGCCTCGGTCTGGCCTGGAAACTGCTCCGGGATTTTGAGTCTCTGTGTTTGTGTATTCTTTTTTGGATATTTTTTGTGCAATTGTTGGACAAAGTGACTTGCTGTGGCATTAATTGCACTAATAGAGCGTCCAAGGAGTCTCCACTTCATTTTTTTCAGTAAGTAAAACTATATTTATGTATTTTAGGTCACTGCCGAGCTGAGCTTAGATTTTAACATGTACTGTTTAACCATGAAATTTAAATGTAATAGGGTAAAACCCAGTGTATTTAACACAATGCTGCACTTTAGAAAATGGGTTGAAATATAACATGTTGGTGGAGCTGGGTTCCGACTATCGGCTTGTGGAGCTCTCGGGAGACCGATGTTTTCCACCCGGAATGCCGGCTGTTTCTCCCCGCAGCCCGGTCCATCTCTGTCTTATTAAGGCTCCTGTTAGCTGCGCGAGCTGACGGCTGGTTCTCCCTGCAGCTCGGCACATCTCTGTCTGATCGCGGCTCCTGTGTGCTGTGCGGGCTGCCGGCTTGTGGAGCTCTGGGATGGAAACCTTTCCACCCGGTTCTCCCCAGCGGCAGCTCTGCACATCTCAGATTGCAGCGGCGCTTGTCTGCTGCGCGGGCTGCCGGCTTGTGGAGGTCTCGGAGACCTCTGTGTTCCATCCGGTTTTGCCCAGCAGTCAGCCCGGCGTATCTCTGACTCAGAAGCTCTGGTGTTGTGCACAGTTAACTCCGGTTGTAGCTAGGTTGCTACCTCCGTTAGCTTGCTCCCACCTCCGCGTTAGCTTTGGGTTAGCTTCAGGTTAGCTTGTAGCTAGTTCGACCGGGTGTCGTCAGTTGATCCCAGCCTTACAGCCCTACCCTCAGCTCCACCTCTCTTCCCTTTTGTGGAATTGTCTGGGCTTGACGGAACCTGTGACACGGTCAAAATGGCGGTGGTGGCCACCTCCCATTTGGCCTAAAAAACGTGTTATTGGAGCCTATGGAAACCCATTGTCCATATATGTATATGTCGATGCTCACAACTGAATTTTGGAGAAGCCCCACCCCTTTGAAGCTCTACAACCCAGGTATAGGTTACAGGTCACCAAATGCTGGACTTCAAATGGTATCCAAATGTGTGGTAACCATGGTAACCCAATGAACCACAGACATCAGGATAAACATTTTCTCTATTTTTCTTAGAGCTGTTGAAATGTCTCCTTCATGAGTCTTTTTTGGTGAACTTGTTCAGTTCTGGAGATGTAATAAAGCTTGACTGAATCTTAAAACAGGAGCAGAAACAGTATCAGAGTGGTTGGATTTGTGCTTGTGGAGCAGATTCCCATGCCTTCCCGTTCACAAACCACATTAGAAATTAAATCCGTGCATAGGATTTTCATCATCAGCGTTTTCAGCGCACAGTGAGCAAATCAGTTGGTAGAAAAACAAGAAGCACCTTTATTTGAAGTAGATTTAGGCACACAGACTCTCTTTAAGGCAACAGAATCGATCAAACACAGATGGTCTGCTGTTGTAAAAACCACCGGTTCAGTTACTCAATAAGAAAGATGTTTATCTCACACCTGCTGAAAGTTTCTACTACCAGCAAAACGTTTGTCTTAAAAAAACAAAATGGAGTAATTTGATTTATAACGAAGGCAAAGTGGTTTAGTATGTGATCCACACTTAATTTTACTGCCTTCCTGAAACCAGAGTCCTTCATGTTTGGTGAAGGCCCTTCAGATGGTGGCGTGAGCTCCGAAAACACAATAATTTATTCTAAAACAACACAAAATATTTAAATATAAAATCCCACCCCTCAGTTCTCTCTCTCACACAGACACACACACACACACACACACACACTCACACACACAAACACACACACACACACACACACACACACACACACACACACTCAACTGATGAAAGCAAACAAAGAGAATTCAGGTTTCATAAAGTCTGCATACCCGGCTGCCTCTTAAAGAACATCCTCATCTTCAGCAGCCAGATTTTTCTGTTGACCGTTCTCGTGTCATTAGGAGAAATGATGAATATTAGTACTACTATAAGAAAATAATCATTTGTTCTGGGTTGTAAAAGACGTAACCCTCAAAAGTCCCATCAAGGCAGCGTTTTAAGGAACCCCCAAAGGTCTGAGGTTCGGACTACGTCTCTGAGGTTGGGGACGCGCCTGGAGACGTGGACACAGAAGAGTGGTCCGTGTCCTCCAGCTCCTTGGTGAAGCCGCAGCCAGCATCGGAGGAGGAGCGCGGATTGGAGGACGCGCCCTCGCGCTCACGTTTCTTCTGCTTCATGCGTCTGTTCTGGAACCAGATCTTTACCTGGGTCTCGTTCAGCTCCAGCGTGGCGGCTATCTCCACGCGCCGCGCGCGCGTCAGGTACTTGCTGAAGTGAAACTCCTTCTCCAGCTCCGTCAGCTGCCGCGTGCTGAAGTTGGTGCGCATGGCGTTGTTGTGCGCGCCCGTCAGGCCGAAGTCCGACGCTTTGGCTGGAAGAAGAACAGACCAGATGTGTCATTCTGCAGATGTGATGAGTAACGTGCATGAAAACCGTGGAGCTAATGTCTGGTTAAATAAATTAATAAAGTGTTGACTGATTCTGGATGACAAGTATCTGGATGTGGCACAGAACCACTGAGCCATGGTGACGTCATGGAGGAGGGGGCTCTAGTTTATTCACGCGCCGCCAGCTTTCAGAATGGAAAGAGGCTGCGTGCTGTCCTCTAGACTGAAAGTAACAGAGTAATGATAATTATTCCTTATCGGGATCTTTTTGTTTGCAGCTCTTCTGGACCTCCTGGGCCCTCCCCAGAGCTCAGTTCTGAAGAGAAGGTCCACATCCTGCTTTACGAGGCCGTTCCTGTCTGTTTAGGTTGCCTGATGTTAAAAGCAGAAACCGAACTTCGCAGGTGGACATGCTTATTTATCTGTCGGAGGTTTGAATACATGTGTATTCGTTTCTCCGACCTTCTCGTTTTTAAATGCAGATATTTACTCAGATCAGATTCTGCACAGCCTGACCTGCACCGGGAGTCAGCACTCAGACCCAAAGTCTCCTACCTGTCTTTGGTGGGTTCCTCTTCACCTTCATCCAGTCAAAGGTCTGCCCCTGTCCGCTCTGGTTCTCCTCGTGCCCCCTCTCTCGGTCCCGGGACACCGGAAGCTCTCCGTATCCTCCGGTGTGTGGGAGTCCCAAGAAGCCCACTGCGTCCAGACCCCCTCCGATGTGCTGCGAGTACTGGGAGCTGCTGAGAGCGCCCTGAGGGCCGCAGTAGGCCTCTGGGAGGGCGCTGTAGCAGGCGCCAGCAGCAGGAGCCGAGCTGGGGAAGGCCGGTTGATGGTAGTAGGTGGAGGGCACAGACTCATCCATGAAATACTGCGGTTGGATAGAATTGGGAGGTCCCATAACGGAAACATAATCAGTGTTCGTAGCGCACGCCTGGCCCGCATAGCCCCCGGAGGTCCCGGACCTGCCGTTGGTGTAAGGAGACAGTAACCCACTCTGTGCGCTCTGGTTCTGCTGAAGGCCAGGGAGGGGGTGGAAGCCGCTGGATGGGTGCTGATGCTGCTCAAAATGATTCGACTGATGGTGCTGACTTGTTAGTCTGGACTCGTGCGTCCCTCCGGTGTCCGCTCCGGTGTTCCCGTACACCCCCCCATCTGTGATGTAACCGCTGTCCCCACCGGGTCCGTTACCCGCAAGAGAGGATCCGCTGAAGCCCGTGTGGAGCGAGCTGGGGGCATGGTGCTGATCCAGGGCAGCGTGGTGATGATGCAGATGATGGTGGTATCCAGGCTTGGGTGCAGAATAAGAACCGGACGCTGGTCGGTTACAGATGGAGTACTCCACAAACGAGTTCATGTTGTCCGCAGAGCGGAGGCCCGGCCAGCTGAGTCACTATCCTATTGTTCACAAGGATTCCGAATCCACTCAAATCACAACCGGAAAGATAAAAAAACTTACTAAAAATACGTTTAGAGCAGTCTTACTCAGCTAAATTAAACTTCAATGAAATAAGAAGATCTCAAGAAAAAGTCAGATTCTTAAAATCAGAATAGAAAGGAGAGAAACCATATTCCCAAAGTCCAGGAACACGCGTGGATAATGTCCTCTGGTGCGTGAACGGGCCTTGCGGGTTCCAAAAGGCCCACGCGACACGACCTGAGTCACCTCTCCACCTGGATACGTCTTCAGTCAGTCTGCAGCCATCCCGGCTCTCCAAAACTCCGATTTTCGTTATTTCTCCCAACTCTCTCGCTTCTTC